CCTCGTATTAGCTTTGGATCGATTTACTGCTTGCTTACTTTCCAAAGGGAAACAAAAACAAAACAAAAACATGAAGAGATATGTATAAGTGGACCAAAACAAAAACATTAAACATTGTGATGAGACTTGACTTTTGGTAACGTCGATAAAAAGATAAAATAAAATAAAAGTACATTGACTGATTAAAATTCAGTGAGCTCGTGACCTCTTCTCGTACGCAGAGGACAAACACTGTCACTGTTCTGCTCACGACATCGACCAACCGCGTTCCACTTGCGCGCGCTTTCACGTTTAATTTAATACTCAAAGATTATGCATATACATGTTAGGAATCGCATCCTAAAATTCAATTTTTCTGAAAACCTTTCCCTTCCTTTCAAATCCAACAACCTTTTTTTTTTATTTATCAAAATCCACAATTTTTCAATTTTACACTTTTTTATTTTATTATTATTTTTTTAAACAAACATCATTAAATATTTTAATTAATTTCGCCAACAACCGATAAGTAAATCCCTAAACAATCAGATCAAACGACCTATCTTCAATCTCATCAAGAAGCACATCTGCTACTAACTTAGCTTTATGAGATCCGACAACTTCCAAACTGTTACCAACTGCAGCAATCACGACAAGCGCAATAGCTTCAACTTCTTCTGAATCCTCTTTAACGGGTACAAGAATCTGAAACAGGAAAACATTATTTTTCTAATGCATAAACACTTCCTGACAACAATCAAACATGCTCCTAAAAATCCATCCGACCATCAAACAGCGACTGTATTGAAGAATGTTAAAGGACCAAGTAGAGACACAATCGAAGATATATATACATGTGGGTATCTTTGAATGGCCAGTTTGTTTTGAATGTTAGAAAATTTACACGATATGATATTTTTTAATAGTTTTTGAGAAGTAAGCTATATGTTGCAAGTATTATGGCCACATGGAATGGTAAAACGAAGCATAGGTAGGTAAGTTATTAGGTTAAAACCAATAATCGGCAGGACATTAAATTTAGAGAAGAAAATGCTAATTACAAGTCTAAAAAAACAGTTGGTACTAAATAAAACATAAGAGAGCCATGTGTATGTTTGTGATCACTTGATACCACACTAAAAGATTCAAATAAAGTCCAGTAAATAGACAAAAGCATTGGATCAAGGTGTAATACGAAAACAAAATCTCAGTTAGTAAAATCAAGCAACTTGTATTTTATGCCATACATTAGTCTATTTACCGTCACTAAGAGACCACCCATTTTTAAAACATGGTGGCAATTTAGCTTTGATCACAACAATCATCTACAAGTAAAAGCTAGCATATCTTCACTTACAAAAGACTAATTTGAAATTCACTTTTCAAAAATATCGTATCGTGTAAATTTTCTAACATCCAAAAATAACTAAACACACTCAAATTCAGAAGAAGAAAAAAGCATATAGTATTGAATATGATTTGGCCGATTATGAATGCTAAATACAGAACCCGCTAAAACTCATGAATATGGAGCACAAATATCTAAAAACTCAAAAGATCTAAAGAGGCTCAACTATATATGGTGTAATACCGTATACAAGTTTATTCTTTCTTCTTATTATCTCTTTCCTTGGTTCTAATTGGTTATTTAATGTGAAAGGGTAGTTAATCAAAGTTGGCTTATAAACAGTCAAGCACTTTTGCTTCGTTTAATTTTAAGTATGAAAAGTTTKAAAAAKAAAAAAAAAAGTTTATTCTTTCGATAAAAAAATAAAGTTTATTCTTGTCCAATACCATTTAGTTTAGATTTCATTTATTTTTCAATCCTGGATCACACAAAACATAAAGAGAGATTATAAAAACATATTTTTGGTTTCGAAATCCTCATGCATAAATTTTTGAAACCCAAGTTTACAAGTATTTTCGAATCCTCATATATAAAATTTTGAAACCCAAATTTACAAGTATTTGTATGATTAAATTGTCTTGTTTCTTGAGTTTCTCTTAGAGAACAGTACATGTGATCTATTTGCCAAGGGTTACCAC